CACAGCAGAGGGCCCCAAGACTGAGGTGTCCTGGCTGGGAGGAAAGGAGGTGCTGGGCGGGGGGCGTGGAGTAAAGAGGTTTCCAGGCCAGGCAGCACCTTGAGGGTCAGGGGAAGAGAATGGACATTCTGTGAGGGTGATGGGGACTGTTAGAGGGATCTAACCAGGAGAGTGGCCTGAGTATTTGACATTAAAGAAGAGACCACCCAGTGCTATGTGGACATGGCCTGCGGGCCAAGTGTCTGTTGGGAGAGTAACAAGGGCTAAGTCCACAACCCCTGCTTGGGGCCTGTGGAAGGGTGACCTCCCAGCTAGGACCTCCAGGTGGCTGTCTGCCTCTGTTTTTGCCTCAGAGCTCAGCCCCAGGAAAAGAGGGTTGCAAGGATCGTTCGCCAGAACCAGAGTCAATGTCCCGAAGGCTTATGGGACAACCCCTTAGAGCAGGGTGACCATAGCCGCCCCGAGTGTGGGACACCCGTTTGGTGCATGGCAACCCCTGCACCTTTCCCTCTAGTGCAGCCACGTGGTGGGTGTCACGAGAAGATCAGAGACTCAGGAGGCCAAGGACCTGCCCAAGGGCCAGCGAGTAAGGAAGTGAGGGGCGGCAGCACCCTTGAGATGGGACATCGTGTTGTATTGATTTACTACATGTCTAAGATGGCACTCTTCTTCTAAGAGCCTGTGACAGGCATTAAATAATTTTTTTAAAATTCTTGAAGCATATCTAGAAATGTGAAAACAGAAGCCAGCTTTTTTGTTCCGAGCCATCTGTGAGAGAGTTTCATTCACGGTCAGAGCTGGCTGATGGGAGGGGACCCAGAGGCTTTCCAGGCCTACAGCCACTGGGGTGGTTCTGATGCCTTCAGTGGGTGGGATGGGGACTCCTTTCCACCCTTTTTGATATGCAGTATGTGTCCTCAAACCAGGGAGTTGAACTTAGCAGTCAGTCACCAAGCCAAGCACATGTGCTAGGATTTGGGGAGGCAGATAACGGCTGCAGGTCCCGCTCACAGGTGCTGTCTCATCAGCTCCCACTTGTTCAGCATTGACTGAGCTGTGTTGCCCAACCTGTGCTGGAAGCTGGGGACAGAGAAGGCCTAGACCTAGTGGATGTGGACGGCGCCCACGAAGGCCAGTAGGAGCTGTGATGGATAACGCACCAAGTTCCAACAAGAAAGGGACAGTGGGCTGTGCCGGGGCACAGGGCAGTGTTCCTGGGGAGGCTGTCCTCGCTACATAGCTCATGGGAAATGAGGGTCATCTGCTGATTCAGCGTGGCTGGCATGCGTCTCTCAAATGCATGGGATCCAGAGGAGGATGGGAAGGGGGCGTTCTCCATGGATTCTCATAGAGGCAAGGAGACCTGCCCAGGTCTACAGCTCTTATTACTATGGCTATTTTGTGATTGATAGGAAGACTTTCAGAAAATGGGTTAGATTCAGGACTCTTTCCTTGCAATGGACAGAAACCCAATATAAACTGACATTTTAAAAAAGGCAGGGGGAGCAGAATGAGGGGGATTTATTAGTCCATAGATCTTTAAACACTCTAGGGTGGTTGGCTTTAGGCACAGCTGGATCCAGGGGCTCAGATGATGTCATCAGGAAGTGCCCCTGTTTGACCCTGTATTAGTCCTTTTCTGTTGCTTATAACAAAATACCTGAAGTTGAGTGATTTATAAAGAAAAACGAAATTTATTGCTCATAGTTTCTGAGGTTGGGAAATCCAAAGTCCATCTGGCAGTGGTGACAGCGACCCAGGGTCTCACATTGTGAGATGGTGGAAGCAGAGAGAGCAGGAGGACAACTTCCTCAGCCCCCCCCCCCAACTCTCCTTTCCTGTGTTGTCCTCTCCGAGGTGGGCTCTCCCCACAGGACAGCCGGCCTTCTGCCCCAGCAGAAGGAGAAAGCCCATTTCCCAGCAGCTCCGTCGCAGATCCCATTGCCTGCCTTGGGTCTGTGTCCAAGCCTGCACCAAGCGCTGTGGTCGGGTGGATGAGACAGAGCTCTCTGCACAGCTGGGCTTATGTGCCTTCTCTACAGCGTGGGGGAGAGGAACAAAGCTGTCCAGACCACAGGACTGAGGACAGGGCAGGGTGGCTCCCAAAAAGAAGCACCAAGGTGCTATTACCAGAAAAAGCAAGGAGTGGAGGTTAAGCATATGAAAAACGTGTGTTTCGTGTCTTTAGTAGTCCACACTGACTGGACCGTTTCTGGAGCTATTCTTTTTGGCATAGAGCAGTAAACGCATGGGGTTTTTGCCTTTGACCCTTGTCAAATTAAGAAGTACTTTGACTTAAAACGTCAGAAGGCTGTTGCTTACATGGAAGAAGCCAGGACCTCTGATTGGCCTGCAGGACAGGCCCCACATTTGGGTGGTTGTGGAAATATTCCTACTGGTGCCAAATGGAAGCCGGAATAATGAGGAAGGTGTCGTGTGTGTTTCAAAGAGATCCTGCATGTTGGGGAAACTTCTTGAAATGTCAGGCTATGAATAACTTCTGTGAAAAATTAATCATGGACTAGAACAGTCTTTTTAGTCAACAGACGTATGCTTGAATCTTCTGCATTCTGATTTTTAAAAAGGAGGAAAAAAAGAACGTGGGTTTGTGAATTCAGTCAGTTAAGAAATGAGGTTTGAATCTCAAGAGGTGCTGGCATTCCTGGGAGCTGCAAGGTCAGCGAGCAGCAAAGGCCCTGTGGTCAGTGAGAAGGGGAGGGCCCAAGGAGGGCCCAACTCTGGACCAGTCACTTAACACAAAGTAGCTCATTTCATCATAAACCGTCCTATCAGATAGATGTCAATGATTGGAGTGAAATTGCTCCAAGAGGTGACGTGACTCGCCCTAGGCCACACAGCACTTTATGGTGAAGGTGGATTCACACGTGGGTGGGCTTGCTCTAAATGCACACTCTCTTCTGGGAGCCTGTAGAAAGGACCTTGGTCTGGCACCTGCAGGCTTGGTGTTGCCAGTTCTTGCAGAGTTATCTCAGCGTCTGTTGAGCCTGTGGCCAGAGAGCACATTGGAGGGGCTGGAGGGGGCATGACGAAGAAGGACGAGAGACTGACCTTGATGGATCCATGAAATACCAGGTCTGGGGCCACTTGGAAGGGTGGGTGGGCCCTGCAGCCATCCCCAAGTAACGTCCTTGACCCCAGCAAAAAGCCAAGCCCAAAACTCTGCAGGGATGGCTCCATCCATGTTTGTGAATGTCCACCAGGAGGGCAGGGTGACATGTGCCTTTCCCATGAGGGTCCTGGAAGAATCCTTCCAATTCCCCCTTCCTGATCACGTGCCTTGTCTGCGGGCGCTCATGTGCTGCCTGTACCTTTGAGCCATCCTCATCTTCCCCTTGCCCTCTCCAAACTATACGTGACCCATGTGTCCCACTGCTGCCACCTGCTGGAGTCCTGTCTTCAGAGATCTAGGTGTCCTGAAGCCAGGGCCAGGTGGCATTGGCTGCTGCAGAGCCTGGCACAGAGCTGGTCTGGGAAAGCCCTGGATGAGTCGGATGAGGAAGGCTGGTCCTCAGGATGTTGTTACTGGAGATGGTGTATCATTTCCCTTAGTTCTGCCTTCTGTTTCCAGAAACATCAAGAGAGTGTCTGCTAATCTCTGATGAGTCCCTACTGTGTGGCAGGCAGCGCTCCAGCTGCGTCCCTCGAGCTATTGCATGTTATTGGCACCTGCCAAGGTGGGATGTGGTGTGGGGAGGCAGGGTGTGCAGTTGTGTTGGCCCCTGAATACTGGGTTGCCTCAGTCAAAGAAAGAGACTGGTAAAAAGTGATATTTTTCAAAAACTCTGTTGTTAATGATGCCCATTGTCGGTAAGACTGTAGTGTGATTGGTGTAGTTCTGTGATGCTTTTGCAAATTGGGATAACTTTGTGAAATATAGCACAAGCCATATGATGTTTAGACCTTGGCCTAGTGATTCAGTTAAAGAATCTATGCTAGGAAAATAACTTCCCAAAAGAAGAAAAAAGGATACACACAAAATGGTTTGAGCCACCATTTTATAAAATAAGGGATTGTTGGGAGCAACCCAAAGGCCTGATGGACAGGAAAAACTGAGTAACCTGAGTGTGTCCCCTTGATGGGATTCATCCTCCACTGAGATGGTGAACTGACTGCACGGCAGGGTGGAAAACTGAGCTTGATTCACTGCCATGGACTGAACGGTTATGACCCCCCAAATCTACATACTGAAATCCTAGCCCCCAATAGGATGGCATCAGGAGGTAGAGGCTCTGGGAGGTGATTAGGTTGTGAGGGTGGAGCCCTCATGAATGGGGTTAGTGCCCTCGTAAAGAAGGCCCAGAGAGCTCCCTGCCCTTCCCCGCGCGAGGACACAGTGAGGAGACCTGTGAGCTGAGGACCGGGCCGTCACCAGACACCGAATCTGGATCTTGGATTCCCAGCCTCCAGAACTGTGAGAAGTAAATGTCTGTTGTTTGTAAGCCACTGGTTTATGTGTTTTTGTTATAGCAGCTCAAATGGACTAAGAAGTTCACTCTTAAGTAAAAAGCATTTATACCAAGATGTACATTCACTAATTATAACCTTCAGAAAACGTGTGTATCAGTGGTGCACTTATGGAGATATGAACTTGTCTTATTGGTTGGGCACTGAGTGTTGGGCACCGGTTCTTCTTATTTTTTAGGTCAGGGGCTTTCAAACTTGAGCCCTCAGGTCTTTCTAGACTCCAGGTTAGAGCAGGCCTGAGCTGAGGGAGGCGATGGCGGGACTCGGTTTGAGAACCGTCCCCTGAGATGGAGTTTGCCGTCGCTGCTCCGGGGCTACTTGCAGAATTGGAAGGTGAGCAGCTCCTTCCTGGGCATGTCCTCTGCCTCTGCGTCTGTGCTCCTGCTCCTGGCCTGGACTTCAAAGTGGAATCAGCACTGGGTCTTCCGAAGCCCTTTCCTGTTGTCCCCTTTATTCCTCTGACAAGTGACAAAGTCTGGCTTTGTGACATTCTGTTCATTTTTTCCATGTTAAAGGACCTGTAAAGGGAGACATGGAAATCCTCTTTGAAGAAGTCCTGGAGAAAGCCAAGGCCGGGGACCCCAAGGCGCAGACGGAGGTGAGGACCATGTTGTCCAGCTGGGAAGCTCGGGGTGTGGCCCACAGGTAGCAGACATGGCCAGTAGCTGGCATGGCCGGGCGCTCCATGGTCCATGAGGAGATTCGGTGCCTTGTGAACAGGGAATGGGAGCACACGTTCATCCCCCTTGCCCAGCTCACACTTCGTCTTGAGCATCACCTCCTCCAAAATGCCCTCCCGGCTTCCTGCGACTTGGTGGCTGAGTGCCCCACCGCTCTGTTAATGCCGCACGCTCTCATTTCCCTGAGTGGCCATTCTCCATGCCTTCCTGGTCTCATATGGTAGTGGGCACACCAGCCCATAGGTGTGTGCATGGGCCCTTGGAGTAGTGACCCTTCACTCAGGCATTTGCCAGGGCCCTGGCTTCGTGCCAGTGGTGAGGACACAGTGGTGAGCTACACAGACGTGGGCTCTGGCCTCACAGGGTGACAGGTTATGGAAGAAGACAAAACAAGTAAACAGACACATAAACGCAATCATTCTGAATTATAGTAAGGAAAGAAACCAACAGAATGCTGAGAGAGGAGGTGGCGAGGGTCCTGGTGTCCTCCGAGGAGGGGCCATCCTAGCTAAGGGAGACCCTGCACCTGGGGCAGTGCCAGACAGAGTTACGAGCAGTGCAGCTCGAGGCAGAAGAGAGCGTGGTGGGCCCAGGGAACAGAAATGCAGGGAGAGGGAGCAGAAGGGGGGTTGCTAACTTCAGCATAGGCGTTGTCATCTCCTGTTAGCCTCACAATGTACTTTTTGGATGAAACTAAGGCCAAGAAAGTGTCAACAGCTTGTCCAAGTTCACCAGCTCCAAGGAGGTGGAGCCAGGACTCATACCCAGGTCTGCAGGCCCTGGCCCTGCGCTCCTGGGCCCTGAGTGCTGGCCGCAGCTAGCCACAGCTGTCCACATATTTCTCACTGTGTTTCTTGTCTTAGGGTCTAGAACAGGGGACTGGGAGGTGGGGCAGGGGATCCCAGAGTCCAGCCCCTGATGTTAGTCACAGGGAACCCGAGGCCCCAGGAGGAGGAGGAAGGCATGAGCTCCAGGTAGCAGCTTTGTGCCCAAAGCCTCCCCTTTCACCCTGACTACCACACCCATCTTCCCATGGGAGCCTCAAGACAGGCTCCTGAGCAGCAGTTTCTTACCACCTCACTCTGTCCCTTGGTGCATAGCTCAAGCAGGTGACCACAGTCATCAGAGCAATTCCCACCCTACTTCTTCCTGAGGACAAGAGCTTCCATGCACAGCCATAAATGAGGAATTTGTGTTTCCTACCTTACAGCCACGTGGCACCTTGAAGTTCCTGCAGCATGTCGCCCAGGCGTGGGGGTGAGGTGCCACAGCCCTGTCTGGGCCCCATCTCCCGCAGACCTCACCATTTCCACCTAGAGCATGAGAGGATTGGACTGGGTCAAAACATTTTTTGCAAAGGGCCAGATAGTAGCTGTTAGGGGCTGCATATGGTCTCTGCAGTAACCACTAGGCTTTGCTGTGGGGCACACGAGCAGCCATGGACAATACATGAACACGTCCCTGTGGTTGTGTTCCAGTAAAACCTCACTTTCTTTTTTTTTTTTTTTTTTTTTTTTTTTTTTTTTTTTTTTTTTTTT